CCCTATTGCTTTACCGCCCTTCTGTTCCCTACAGCTGGTGCTTGGGCCAAGTGGAGTGTTGCAGGGGATTCGCCCAGGGAAGTGTTACGTTGATATGTCCACTGTGGATGCAGAGACAGTCATAGAGCTGGCCCAGGTAATCACATTGAACTCACCTTGTAACATCTGTGATTCATCAGCAGTGGGGCAGCTGTTGGTAATGAAGATGTTTCTGAAGATTTTGGGGCTTCTTTTAGGAGGCACTCAAGTCCCAGGCAAATAAGACAAAATAAATTGTCATATCTTGTTCAGCAAACAAAGTGGGACAAGATGTTTTTTGGTGATAACAGCAAAGCCTGGAGAGTTGACAGGGCTGTTAGCTGGCAGCAACGCAAGCAGCCAACTTTTGATCCCTGAAGAAGTATTTATAGCCAGATTGGTATTCTGTAGGAAACTGGAGGAGAAAGCCTTGTCTGGATTAATAACTGTCTTTAAATTGGTAAAAAAGCATAATTGCTTATTTTAAATGTTCTGGTTGGGGAAAAAGAATGCCTTCATGTTTCATTCTGTAGAAATATTATTGTAGAGAGGATTTCTGTGGAAGTGTTCTGATAATTTCTGACATGGTACCTTTGAATTCCTCTTTGGCATCTTGATTGTTATCCTGTGTCCTAAAGGATGTGGGTGTTGTTGCACGAGGAATTGGGGCTAGTTTTGGTGAAGTTTTAAGTAGACGTAATGATGATGCAGTAAGTGTGTAACACGAATGTGAGGAATGAAGAGTCAACATACTGTTTCTGGCAGTATATATTTCATACATGAATTTCTGGCTGAAGAAATCTTTCAAAGGCCTTTCCTCTTTGGAGAAAGGAGGGCAAATATCCTAACAGTCAATTTTCCAAGGTTCCTACACCACATGCACAGCTTCAGCACTCATTCCATGGCCATGATGGGGTACCATGGCAGAAGCATCTAAGTTCAGCTGCTTAAAGCAGGCACAGTAGTGATGGGTGCAGGAAGGTGTTGCTGGAGTGTGAGAGCAGCCTTTGGTCTGCAGTGCCCTTTGCAGGGTGCAACACATCACCTGTTAGTGCTTTCATCTCCTGTTTCTATGTCTGAGTTATTTGTTCTGCTTTAAAGTTCTGTCCTCAGGGACAGAAATGCCCTAAACAATGTTCTTGCTGTGCTGCACACTCAGCACCCGTGCAAGCTGTTTGTGCACCACTAACCAGAGATGCTCTTTTTCCAGGTGATAGTGTCCCGGGGCGGTCGCTTTTTGGAAGCCCCAGTCTCAGGAAATCAGCAGTTATCTAATGATGGGATGCTCGTGATCCTGGCAGCTGGTGACAGGGGTTTATATGAGGACTGCAGCAGCTGTTTCCAGGCGATGGGGAAGACCTCTTTTTTCCTAGGTAATTGATACACTAAGGGCCTAATAGCAGGCTCTTAGTGCAAGGACTGGGAACTCCAGCAAGGAGACTGAGAGACACGTGTCATCTGCTTCTTGTCTCTTTGGGCAGTATGGGAAACTGGCCTACTCTTCTAGAACTTAGCGCATTTCAGAACCTCCAGCCTAAACTTTCTTTTTTGGATACTGGCTTATTTTGGCAGACCTGTGATTTTTGGTATTTTAAATCATATTTTAATTTCTTCTTTCTTGTGAGTGCTTAGAAAATGGGTACGTTTTCTGAAGTATTTCAGGGAAAGGGAGAGCTGCCAAGTGCTTGATGTGGAAAGTCCAGTAGCGTTAACGCTGTGTGGGAGTGGGAGCAGGGCTTCTGTGTCTCTTCTGGAGGAATGCCCAATGGTATGTCTCGCTCCAGGTGAAGTAGGCAATGCTGCCAAGATGATGCTGATTGTGAACATGGTCCAAGGCAGCTTCATGGCAACGATAGCAGAAGGACTCACTTTGGCTCAAGTGACTGGCCAGTCCCAACAGACCCTTCTGGATATCCTCAATCAGGGACAACTTGCCAGCATCTTCCTGGACCAGAAGTGCCAAAGTAAAGTTATCTTACATTGTTTTATTATAGGACATTTGTCCCCACCTAGCAGCATTTCAGATAACAGCAGAAGGGAGAAAATAACTGTCCCATCTTCAGCATCATGGGATTCTGGGTATTTTAAGCATTCTGGAAATGAAGAGCTAAGATTTATTCCTTCCCCTTCATAGCCAGGGCTTCTGGGAATACACCCCAAATTCTGCCTTGTCTACAGCCTCCTTAGGACTTGAGTTCACAGTGAGGATTTCATTTGGGCAGGGTAATAAGTGAAATGGAGGGCAAGCTGCTTAGAAGTCTGAGCTGACTTTGTCAGTGGGCAATAGTGACATTATCTGCTATGACCACATGAAGAGAGAGAGCAGAGAAGCAGAAGAGCTAAAAGCAATGTTCCTGGTGGTCAGCATGAGCATAGGAAGATTGGTGTTGAATTGCATACCCTTGCAGTGTGGGCTTGCTTTACTTTTGCCATGCTTATTTTTTACACGCATTCCTCTCGACAGATATCTTGCAAGGAAACTTTAAACCTGATTTCTACCTAAAATACATACAGAAGGATCTTAGATTAGCTATTGCACTGGGCGATTCTGTCAACCACCCAACTCCTATGGCAGCTGCTGCCAACGAGGTAAGAGTTGTTTGGTGTTCAGATATGTGTTACTCAGCATTACAAGAACTGCATCAAAGAGAAGAGTGACTGAAATAGATTTTGCCTGGGATAGAATTGGATTTGTTTTGATTGTAGAAGCTCTTAGAATGTCACATGAGTAAACACAGATGGACCTCAATGAGATCTGGTGTGTTCAGATCTATGCTGCTCTAACTTCACATACTGTGCAGTTCTGGTTTGCAATGGTCAATAAAGTAACTTTTTTTTCTGCTAGGCAAAGGCTTCACACCAGAGCAGGCACTAATCCTTTTCTCTTTTCTCTGCTCTAGGTCTATAAACGAGCAAAAGCATTGGACCAATCAGACAACGACATGTCTGCAGTGTACAGGGCCTACATCCACTAGGCTGCACCATTCTTACTGTTAATACTATGATTATTGTTTAATATTATTATGATACTGGGTTTTAACTCTGGACCAGTCCATCTATGTCTCTCCATTTCCTTTTATACACAGACTTTTGAGATCTGCCATGAAGGCAGCTGCTGCAGTGAGCCTTCCCCTGATGGCAGACGGGGGGGAGGAGGGAGTTCAGTTTGTTGCAGTCTAATTAGAAGAATTCATGCCATGCACTGACAGTCATGGAACAGAACAGTGGCGGCTTATTCAGAAGCTCTGAGGGCAACTCTGCCAGAAATCTGCTGCTTGGCTGCTTTTATTTTCCTCTTTGTATGCTTGTCCAAGATGCGGTTTCTAATGATCCCCTTTCTCCTTTGCTGTGAAATAACACATGTGTTGGACTCTGCATAAAGGGGACAGGTAACATAAATGCCATCTACCTGTCACTGAAGTCCTTGGTCTCAAGTAAGGTGAGGAGCATTCCTGTTAACCAGCAACTGTTAGAGAACAAAGCACCTCCCATGGAGGAGAATGGCAGTTCCAGAAGGTGATGGGGTTGCATGCAAGACTGTCTTGATTATGTTTCTTTTTGAACGCTCACTTCCCCAGCACCTTGATGGAGGAATTCCTCATACTGTTAAGAAGAACAGATTTGCATCCATGTCTTCCCCTGTACAGACAACTGTAGCTTAGGGAACACAACAAACCTTACTGAAAATGAGAATGCCAATGTAATGAGCCTCCTAAAAGGCTAATCACAGCTGCCTATCCCATAGACAGCATTGGAGATCAAACATTTGCATAGCCTAAAACCTAGGCCAGAGATATTTACTTGGGGAGGGAACAAACCTTAGGGTTGCTCCTGGCCTTAGCTTATGTTGCTTTACTTTTTGTGCTCTTTTTTATTTTAACCCTTGTACTCAGTAGTTGCAAAGGTGTCTGGGATTGTAGCAGTGTCACAAGCAGAGAGATGAGTTTGAAAGGGGAGAGAGGCATGATTGTAGAGCCAAGAGATTGAGGATCCTGTACTCCTTTGTGTGGTCATTATATCTCTTAGCCTGTTTGCCCATCTTTAAAGGTGGGTCATGATTACCTACCTCACAGGGATATTTTGTGTACTGATTAGTGATCTTTATACATGTCATATTTTCCATACATGGTTTTAGTGTTACTACTTTGTGTACAACACTAGCACAGCATGAGACTTTTCCCTGTACTTGTGACTCTGCTTGTGGCCAGATACCAGCCTCTAGAAAGACTAGTAATTAAATGGGAAGTTAAGACCACTGGTGAGCTTTAGTCTAGAAACATGGAACTTGAACTGCAGATGCCAAGGCTGGAGAGCAGAGATGCTGTCCGTGCTGACAGCAGAGCAACCCAGATTCCAAAGGATGTCTGTCTCTAAAAACGCATGGTGTGTGTGTTGTTCTTTCCTTTAAATTGTTCCCAGTATTAGCCTTTTAGGACAGTTCTTGCATTTTAGACTCAAGAGTTAGGTAAATGTCAGTAAGAGGCTTTATTGGACAAAATCACTTCTCAGTGGCACAATCTCCTCCCTTGGATTGGGATTCTGAAAGGAAAGAAAGCAAATTCAAATGAGACCATGTTCCTTTAAATCCATGAGATCTGCTGTTCCGACCATCTTTTTTTTTCTAGGAACTTAATGGCTGTGGAGGGAGATTTTCCTGTGGGTTAGGATTTCTTGGCAATCCTGCTTTGTGCATATGGTTCAGGGGCACCTTATTAAGAAACAGCAAGTATCAGATACTCATGAATCATGACACCCAGTGCTGTAAATGTTACTTTGTTGGGTATTTCACCTCCTGCGATCACTATTATTTGTGGGCTAATATTGTGTTACACATCACGTTGCCTGTTTGTCAGTGTAACTGTCATCCTGCATGTAGATACTCATATTAAAGGCATATACAACTACCCAGGGTAACCAGCCATTAGCCTGCTCGTGCTTCCCCATCCTCAAGAATTCAGCTATTGGCATCAGAAGTCCTTGGTGAAATGTGCCACAGTGAAGAAGTCACCTGAATTGCGTATTGAGGTCATCTGGGGGAAACTGTGGTTTTGGAGGCAGGAGATAAGGTTTTACAGTGCAAGAAATCTTTTGGGAACAAGGCAGAGGTACTGTCTCAGGTCCAGCTGAAAGTGGAACTGCTGAGCCAGTGCAACAGCGTCCCTGACCTGTCCCCATCGAGGTCTCTTGGACCAGGGTGAAGGTGAATGAGTCTGAGCAAAGAAAATGGTAGATCTCCCTTTTTTACTTAGTGGTGCCTCTGGATAGAGTGAGAAAACAAGGGACCTCTCAAGTACTCTGAAGTCTATTTCATAGTGAATTCCAATGTTTGTGAGTGGGAGAGCCACTCCCTGTAGGCAACTCACTGTTGCAGGTTTTGTTTCCCAGAAATATGGCATTCTCACAACTGAGATTATTTATGTGGGAGTTGCAAGTGAAGACTGCTTAAACGCTGTAATTTATCCTAGGAAAGTCTGCAGCTTTCTGGTGAGGTAGGTGGACGTAGGGTGGCTGGAGGGCATGGGGTTGCACAGCCAGCTGTATGATCACACGTGCCAGGGAGCAAGAGATTGAGAGCTCTGACATAGATGTGAAGTGAGGAGCAGGGATGGAAATGGTAAAAACTGGACTGTTTCAGATGCTACTGGAGATTGACTTAGGTCAGTCCCACTCGGATTCTTGTATTTATGTCTGTAGCCCCGAACGTGGATCTTAATCTGTTCCTAGGCCTGAGATTTGGGGGAGGGAAGTAGGAGGGAACTGTGGATTGAGAGATACTCTAATAAAACTGGCTAGTCAATATTGTCTTAATATTGTTGGCAATTCAGTAAAGTTCCTTTTTATGAGGATTTCTGTTTTAGCAATTTGCTTTTTTTTTTTGACTCCCTCGTTTTTAAAGAGAAAATGTGACTCTTGTGAAAAGCTTGTAAGAAAAGCAGTTTCGTTTTTCCTCAATGATAGATCTTATAGTTAATTAAGGTTGTGAATTTTTTTTTTTGCCTTGTTTTTAATTAACGTTTGTCATTCAGAATAGGATGTGTGAAAATGTTTAAATGGCAAAACAAAAATTTTTTTTGTGCAATTAACAAAGCTACTGGCAAAAAGAATAAAACCTTTCTTGGTAATAATGTGGTTGCAGCAGTTTCTAAAACTTGTCACACCTGTATTCTGGCATTAAAGTATTCCTCAAAACAGAAAAAAAATAGAGTTACTGAAAACCAGCAGCATTTTGGCCATTGCAGAAACCTGATCTTGCCCGTGAAACACTACAATCAATTTGGACAAATTGCTGCCGCCTCATGCTCGTGTTGTCTGAGTGTTGGGAATCTGGTGGCCTGGTGGCTCTGTCTGGAGCATCCTGGCTCCCAGCTCTGGGGACTTTGTAAGCACTAATGCTTATGGGCACTAACTGCAACAAGTGGGCTTTCTAAGACAAGATCCCTCAAGGTTTGTGAGCTTCAGATACTGTTTTTGATGGCGCAGGGAGGGTTTGCTGTGGAATAGCAGTCGATATTAATGAACTGAGACACGGGCTAGCATGGTGGCGTTTTAGTCGAAACGACGTAAGGAAACCCTGAACTTTCAGCGCTGTGGTTAAAAGAGATGCAAAGTGGTGGAGCAAGGTCTCGGAGCTGCGCTCAGCAAAGCTTCACCTGCTCGGTGACAGGATAACGTGTTCCTCCCAGAACCTGCTGGGCTGCTGCCAACAGGCTGCTGGCGTCTGCTCGGCAGTGCAGCCGTTGGGAAGAGGAACCCCCCAGCTTCACTGCCAAGATAGAGTTTTTGAAATTTTAACATTTTTAGAAGAACGCGATCGGAGTTCCATCCGTTTGCCCGTGTTTGAGGATTCTTACATCGCGATGCAGTTCGTGCGGGCCCCGCGGGACGCTCTGTGGCTGCGCCTGCCCGGGCAGCAGCGGCCCCG